TAACAATAATATAATTAGTTAATATATTATTATACCAAACTAGTAACAGTTTAAACTATATATTTCAGCTGCAACAAATTGGGATAAGTTTAATTTAAATATTCTGACCATATTTATAAGCAGATGTAAATATAGTTTACATGCTCACTTGTTTATAAATCTGTTTATAAATCTGTTTGAGCTGAGCAGATTTTAATGCCAGCATTTTATTAATATATACATACACATATATGTATATATATCATTTGTACTGTATAAATAATGAAAACATTTGCCTTCCTGATCTGTATTCTTTACTTACATATAGTGCAGTTCCTGTTTGGTCGGCTCTAGCAGGTCCTCAATGCGCGGCAGTTGGAGGCGATGTTCCTTGAGCGTGTAAACGGGCGCCTTGAGCATTTTGGCTATGGCGCTCAGTCTGTCGTAGACAGTGCCATCGCAGAAGATGATCCGTGGCCGGGTGATGCAGAACAAGTGCTTGAAGGTGGGCTCGTCGTGCCAGGGGCTGACGGCATGAAAGGGCGTGCCGTTGAGCAGGCAGCCGAGCACCACGGGCATCAGATATGTGGTGTTGGTGGCGGCAATGCCGACGACATCGTCCTGACGCAGATTCATCGCCTTCAGCTGCTGGGCGATGCGTATGGCAAAGCTGATGGCCTCGCCATTGGTCAGCGCTGTGCCCTCCGTGTCGCAGATCTGTATAAAAAGCGCAAACAGTACTTTAGTATTCCCTCTACACGGGAGAACTGATCTGTTTAAAAGTTCACCTGGCACAGGCTTGCCGGATGGTTGCGCATGAAGGCAAACAGTATTTTGCCAATGGAGCAATCGGCGTCAAAGAAATGCGCCGGCCTTGGTCCACTCCAAACTTTTGTATATTTATCGAACTGTGTGCTGGGGCCGCCCTCCATGTTTTTCTCTAGCTAACTGATAAGAGACGTGGATTTAATGTGGATGCGTCGAGCACAATGTCCAAGCGTCGCGCAAGTCGTTCAGCTACTGCCGACAAGCACCTGGAGTGGTCTTTGACTAGACCAGCTTGTCAGTTGGTTATCAGCTAACCGCTATCCTATCAAACGGTTAACAAACGTCACCTATCAGACGACCCGCCCGAAAACAACAAAAAGCTCCAGATACAACCAATGTTGGCGATAAGCCCAGAAAGCTGTCCAGCTGATAGCAAGTGCCGCTAATTTCATGATATGTTCGCCGTTACAGAATACAAAATACCTCTGGCCAGATATTGCTCGAGCTTTCAATATAACACACACACCATCTAAGGGCAATCTCCAAAATATCAGCACGCAGTGTTTGGAATTTTTCATATATCGTTTAATCTATAAATATTGATGTTATGATTATGTTCCACATTTGTGGACTCTAGCTAAGCAGTTCATACAAGTAAGAGCAGCAACAGTTCGTTACACATTTCACTCGTTAAATAAGCAGTGTACGTAGTTAAGCAGTTATGAAGCAGTGCAAATAGACATAAGTGCGTTGAAGTTCTATTGTAATTGCTGCAGCGCCACCTGTGGGCTATGAATTGTGTTTGAATTTCTTTATGAAAAGCGATTTTAGTGGTAAAGTAGATAGGCTAAAAAATGTTCAACATTTGGGTGTTTGCAAATCAGTTGGATTCCATTAGTTGAAGAAAATATTCCTTAGTGGCCTTGCGATTTGTTTTGCCATTGGGACTTCGCTTTAAATCATCCACTATTATAGCACCTCCGTGCAAATGCTTGTTCATTATTGGTATGTTCTTTCGCACGTAGTCCACAACATCCTGAGCTTGTAATTGTGATCCGACCTTCTTCACCACAGCTGCGGCAGCCTTGTCGCTACCCATGGGATCCCAAATGCCAAAGACGCATACATCAGCCACATCTGGCATTTGGGAGATAACGTCTTCGATTTCATTCGGAAAATATTTGTAGCTCTGGTACTTCAGCATTTCCTTTTTCCGATCTACTATGTAGAGAAAGCCATCATCATCCATATAGCCCAAGTCACCAGTATAAAACCATTGCTCCGAATCAAGGACATTCTGAGTTTCCTCCGGATTTCCATAATATCCAGCCCAATACTGATCGCTTCTCACGCATACCTCTCCAACTTCGTTCGCTCCCAAATGATCTCCGTTCTCAGCGATTATCTTTATCTTTTTACCATCCACAGGACGACCGCATGAGTTGGGCTTCTGATCAAAATGGAAGTTAATTGTCACAGCTCCTAACTCTGTTAGGCCATATGCAAGGTTCATGCCATCTTGGTGCAATTGACTCCTTATCTTCTGTTGAGCTTCCAGGGAACACCGAGCACCTCCATAAAGAAATGTTCGTATGCTCGATATGTCGATTTTCTCTAATTCGGGGCTGTTTCCGGTCAATGCCAAGTGAAGAGGTGAATGCATACACCACGTCACCTTGTGCTGTTGAACTATTCTGAGGAAACGAGCAGGATCGAATGGAACATCACTTATAATGCGTTTGGTACTGAAGACACCAGAAGTAACCGTTGTCAAAAAACCAGAGAACCAGTCCAAAGTACTGTGCGCATACTGAACGTCCGAAGTGGTTAGATCTCTAAGATGGATTAGTATGCATAATTAAATTGAATATATTTTAAATTCTGTTTTTACTTACAAAGCTGCGGAAAGGATTTTTCGACTGTTCGAGATAGTCACAGCCTTGGGAACACGCGTAGTTCCGGATGAGCACAGAATGGCAAGGGTTTGATTATTTCCTTGATCTAGTCGCGAAGGCTTAAAGTTTTCCTCTATTGGAGTGGCCAATACTTCATCAATTTTAATCGATCCAATGGGATGGTTACGCATTGTAACGATCTTCACTTTCAAGCTTTCTGTTGCTGCTTTCACTTTTTCGTATTCATCTCCATCGCAAAATATAAGTCGTGGCTTTGTTATATTGAAGAGGTGTTTGATTGCCGCCTCATCGAAGACCATGTTGACCGCGTGAAAGGGAATTCCATTGAAGAAGCATCCGTAGGTCACGGCAAAAATATGTGTGGTATTCCGCGCGATGATTCCGACAACATCCGACTGTAATAATCCTAAGGATCTCAGATAGCTGGCCACACGCATCGAGTTCAAATGAAGTTCCTCCCGTGTTAACACGGTATTTTCCGAGTCCGAGATCTGCACGAACATTATAATATTTGCAAGAATTTATATCACTACTTCCTTACTTGAGCTATGAGCTGTGGATGGCGTCGCATTTCATGAAAGATAATCTCTCCAATTGATAAATCGGGTGCAAAATAATCACGTGCATTTTCTGCACTCCATACTTTATGTTCCGCATCGTAAGTGATCTCAGGTTTGAATTGCATGCCGACTTCAATGACTTAGTATTAATGACTGGTGATCCGAAGAGGTTCGGGCTGCTTTTTATAGGGCTTGGGGTTGTATTAAGGAAAGATAGCACAGCCTAATCTTATTTGCCCTTAGATTAACAAATGAGCTTAGCTGAGGAAAGTCATCACAATAATCTGAACATACAGTAGAATCCGGTTATAGTGACAAGGGACCGTTGATTTTACGTTTTAACCAGAAAGAGTAAAAAATATTTTTTCATTTTTTTTACGGTTGTCATGTTCGTAATAGCTTTTACTATAAAACAATTTACATTTTTAATCAAAACAACCATTTTTTATAAACTTATTTCAATAACATGGTTTAGAAACATTTTTGTGACGACGGCATTGTACTTTGTCTCTCTCCCTCTCTGTCTTAGCAGCATTTGTGGCGTTGCTACGCACACAAGCAAGGGTACTGGTCACTGATCAATACATATATGTATACATTTCTAACAGAGTCTTTTATGCTGAAATTTGTTGTCATTATTTCGCGATTTTTTTTTTTTTTTTATCACGTCGTAATAACCGGTGATTGACTCAAAACTATGAAAAAAATCATCGGCATAAGAGGATTGTCGTTAAATGCGGAGACGTACTAAGCGGAGGATCTTTCATATAAGTTTATATGGGGACCAACCAAGACATCGAATTTTCGTCGACATAACCGGTTGGAAGCTTTAAGCGGAGTCGTTATAACTGGATTCTACTGTTTATTGTTAATACTTCTAGAGCTCATATTTACTCCGTATGTAATTGTTATTTGTTGACGTAGGCTTGGTGACTTCCATATTATGTGTCCGGGTTGCCAGATCTAAACGGATAGTTGCTAATTGTAACTATCTCTGCTAGTAAGTGAATACCATAAAAAACATCAAAGTTATCTATCCTATCGCAGTTGTTTTTTTTTAATGCTGACGACATTTTGGGAGTGCTTTTTTATGGTGTTTTTGTTTTTTATAATCATACTCAAGAAGGTTTCGTGCTACGTGTTTTGCAGAGCTGAAAGATCTGCGTTATGAGCCTATGATCTCTTGCCTCACATACATTTCCATTCATTGACCTACAGCTTATCAGTCTAAATTCTTAAGTAAATGATGACGAGCTATAATTTAGTAATTGTTGCGGTTAACGGAGTTTCCTTCTGTTTATGGTATTGTATAATCATTCTTGTGAATAATCAATAATAAATGTTTGAATTTGATTTAATTTCTGAAAAGAGTTTTCCAGGTCCTCTGGCTGCTAGCATAGCATCAGATGCCTTAAAACTGACCTTTTTTGCCATCAGTCTAATACGTAGATAGATGTTATTACTTTTACTATTTTCTATTTAATATATTACTGAACTTTTATTTGATAACTCACTTCAACTTAAACTAGTCCCATTAAAAATAGGCCTCAACTCTTTAATTTCTATCTTTAACCTCGAGAAAGTAGGCCTTTGTGGCCTGACGGTTGGTCTTGCCATTGGCAGTTCGCTTTAATTCATCCACGATGATGGCTCCTCCATGCAATTGCTTGTACTTGGCACTGGTATGTTGTTTCACAAAGTCTACCACATCCTGTGCGTGTAGGGTGGATCTGATCTTTTTAACGACAGCAGCGGCGGCCTCGTCACCATTGTATTCATTCCAGATGCCAAAGACACAGACCTCTGCCACTTGGGGCATCTGAGCAATCACGTCTTCTATTTCGTGGGGGTAATACATGATGTTCTGGTACTTCAGCATCTCCTTCTTCCGCTCCACTATGTAGAGGAAGCCATCGTCATCCATGTAGCCCAGATCGCCACTGTGAAACCACAGGGCCGAGTCCCGCACTGAGTGCGACTCCTTCGGGTTGCCATAGTAACCAGGCCAATACTGACCAGAGTAGACGCACACCTCGCCCACCTCGTTCGGTCCCAACGGCTTTCCCTGATCATCGATTATCTTTAACTTGAAGCCATCCATCACACGACCAACTGAATTGGGTTTTTTATCAAAGTGATCATTTTTGGACACCGCACTTCCGACTTCCGTGAACCCGTAGGCCAAGTGCATACAATCGTGGCGCAATCGACTCCTTATTTTATGCTGCGCCTCCAAGGAGCAGCGACCACCTCCATATAGGTAGGCTCGTATGCTAAGCAAATCAGCTTTCTCGAATTCCGGGCAGTTTGCTGTCATAGCCAGGTGCGAAGGCGCCTGTATAAGCCACGTCACCTTGTGCTCCGCAATGATTTGCAATAAACGCGCCGGATCGAATGGGTTATCAGCTATGATTCGTTTTGTACTGTAAACCCCAGAGGTAACCGTTGTAAGTAGACCAGTCACCCAGTCTAAAGTGCTATGCGTGTACTGAACGTCCGCAGTGGTTAGGTCGCTAGAACGATTCGGAATATTATTTTAAGCAAGTCAATGTAGTACTTAGTCACACTACTTACGGACTAGTGTTAAGAATCTTTCGGCTGTTCGTGATGGTCACTGCTTTGGGAGTGCCCGTAGTTCCCGAAGAGCAGAGAATGGCGAGAGTTTGAAGATTTCCCTGTTCGAGGTGAGCAGGCTTGAAGTTCTCTTCCACAGGGGTGGCCAATACCTCATCAATACTAATAGAGCCCATCTGATGGTTGCGCATTGTAACGATCTTCACTTCTAGCTTAGCCGTAGCTGCTTTCACTTTTTCGTAGTCCTCGCCATCGCAAAATATAATACTTGGCTTTGTTATGTTGAACAACTTTTCGATAGTCGCCTGCTCATATGATATGTTGAGGGCATGAAAGGGAATTCCATTGAAGAAGCATCCGTAGGTCACGGCAAAAATATGTGTGGTATTCCGCGCGATGATTCCGACAACATCCGACTGCAATAATCCTAAGGATCTCAGATAGCTGGCCACACACATCGAGTTTAAGTGGAGTTCCTCCCGTGTTAACACAGTGTTTTCAGTGACAGATATCTAATCAGCATTATTATTTATTGTTAGTTAGCGATTGTCCTAGTTAGGCTTTTAAGAAACCTACTTGAGCTATGAGCTTCGGATGGCGTCGCATCTCATGGAAGATGATCTCCCCTATTGATAGCTCTGGAGCAAAATAGTGGCGTTCTTCTTGTCCACTCCATATTCTGCGGTCTGCATCGTAAGTGTTTTCCGGCTTGTAAGGCATTCCGAACGCAGCTAGTTGACTATCGTGACTGATGACATGATGCTGGATGTACTTGTGCTTTTATACTATTGTAGCGATAGCGTGATTATAAATTGTAAAGTGCAGTGTGAGTGTGAGCGTGAGTGTGTGTGAGTAGAGCAAGTTCACAATTATATTCAAGTGAATTGTTGAGATAATCACGACTTGATAACAATTTAAACTATCTGTATGTTTGACTACGGTATGCGCTGATGAATATTATAATTTCTTAGGCATTCATAACTAATTATGCATTCTCTTAATCGTCTATCAACATGCGTAAGTTGAGCAGTAAGAGTCAGAGTCACTGATAGAGCATCAATAAAATCAATTAAGGTATATGCATACAAAGTAGGCACGATCATCTTATCTGCTCAGTGAGTCGATTTTAATAAAAAATACGCACCCGAGAGCAAAACAAGTTGCTTTTTTCACTCATTCAACAGAGATAAGAAATGCATATATTTATATATTTCTACACCCATTTATATACTATATGCATAGTATATATTTATATATATTTATATACATACAGCTAATTCAAAGTATCAAAATTGTCATGACTTGCATAAATGGTGTTGAGGTGTAGTATTAGCTAATACTACTATATTAGTTAACCTTAGGCAATATTGCTTGATACATAAGATTATATTCATTTAGATGGGACATTTTATTTTATACATTGTATTAAGATTTCGAATGATTTGATTTGATTCATGATTGATGTAAATGAGTAAAAATCTTTACATTGTGTTTTAGTTATCATTGGACTTTTATCTAGCATCATTTTTAGAGATTAAAATGTTTATCATGGAATTTTTGGTACCGCACTATATACCCACTTTTTACAGCGTCAAATTCTTTATACTCGTTCACAAAGTAAATAGAGTCTCTTGGGTCTGGACAATGGCAAGCATACTCGATCGATCTCTACAAATAGTTGCATTTAGTCTATAAATTATTAATATAGCAAAATATCATATACTATATCTATTAAAATATCATTGTAATTTTGATTATATACATACTCTTCCATTTATACATCACAGACATATAAAACATATTTTTACATTTATTTATACAGAAAGAACACCAAATGATCTTTTTGAGATGATTTAACTTATTTTCATTCAGTAACCAGTATTTGGCAGTCGGTTACAGCCGATTGTAACGCTCTCACTTGTCTTGACTTGGGGGTAACCATAAACAGATTCTCCCAAAGTATTTGACGTAATTAGATGATAATGAGCCATGTTGGTCTTGCAAGAATTCTTATCTATGACAGGTATATTTCCAGTTGTAGATCAGTTTTGGACTACCCTAAAGTACATTGTAATTATGTAAACAAGTATTATGATATTATCTCTTTAGCTCATTACTTTGATGACCCAGAAGAAAATATTGCGGTTAGCTTCAATTTAAGAAATCCAAAAGTTTAATATTCATTTTATAAAACATTCATATTGTCTTAACTGTACTCAATTCCTTTTGCATTCGATTTCGTCATAGGCTTTAATTGCCTCTTATGTCAACTAGTTAATCAGTCAGCTCCGTTTTCTGAGCCGATTTCAGATAGGCAGCTTTTACTGCCTGGCGATTAACCTTGCCGTTGGCACTCTTGGCCAGCTGTGGCACAATCTGAGCACCAGCATTCAACTGTTTGTACTTGACAGCAATGTGCTGGGCCACAAAGGCGATCACCCGAGCGGAGCTCAGTTGGGCATCTGGCTTGGGCACCACCGATGCAGCGGCTGCGTCGCCTTCGGTCTCGTTCCAAATGCCAAAGACGCAGACCTCGGCGACCTGCGGCATTTGGGCGATGACCTCCTCGATCTCATGCGGATAGTACATCATGCCCAGATACTTGAGCATGTCCTTTTTGCGTTCTACGATGTGCAAATAGTTATCCTCGTCAAAGTAGCCCACGTCGCCAGTGTGAAACCAGCCCCCCTTGTCCTGCATCTCTGCTGTGGCCGCAGAGTTGCCATAATACCCCTTCCAGTGATGTCCGTTGTGGCAGTAGAGCTCCCCCTGCTCATTTGGACCCAGCAACGCACCTGACTCGCTGACCACGCGCATGCGTATGTTGCCCAGGAGGCGGCCCACGGACTTGGGCTTCGAGTGGGTTGTGTGGTTACAGGAGACGCAGGTGCCCAGCTCTGTCATGCCATAGGCATTGCGCAAGATGCCCTCGCCCCGCAGGTAGCTCTGCATCTTGTTCAGCGTGGCCACCAGCGTGTGGCCCCCAGCGAAGAGCAAGTGCCTCAGACTGCGCAGCTGGCGCACGTCAGTAGCCGGACAATTGGCCAACATGGCGATATGCGAGGCGGCCACCACAGCCCAGCTGACGCTCTCCTGCTCGCACATGGATAGGAAGTGCTCGGCACTGAAGGCCTGCTGCGATATGAGGCGCACTGTGCCGTAGACCCCAGCCGTAATTAGGGTGATCAAGCCTGTGAGCCAGTCCAGGGTGCTGGGCGCGTACTGTATGTCGTTGCTATTCAGATATCTGGAGGAAGGTAAGAGATTATCATAATACCCTGTATTCTACTCAAGTTTCCCAGGGATATACGGGCCATACGGTATATCTAGCCAATGTCCTACCTATGACTCTCGAATATTTGACGGCTATTCGATATGGTTACGGCCTTGGGTGTGCCCGTTGTGCCCGAGGAGCAGAGTATGGCCATGATGCGATCGATGCCACGCTCAAACTGGCTGGGCTTATAGTCCTCGGGAATAGGTGCTTGCAGCAGCTCCTGAATGCTCATGACGCCCGCTATGCGTCCATGTATGATTATAATGGGAACATTCAGTGCTGAGGCAATATTTCGCAGCTTTTCATAGTCCGCCTCGTCGCAGCAGATAAGCCGCGGCTTGGTTATGTCAAAGAGATGGCGTATGGTGCTCTGCTCCAGGCTGGGATTGATGGCATGAAAGGGCGTGCCATTGAAGAGGCAGCCATATGCCAGAGCTGCCAAGTGCGTGCTGTTCCTAGCCAGCAGGCCCACAATGTCCGTTTCCCCGACGAAGCCTTGAGCTCTCAGATACACACTGACTTTAGCCGCATTGTGCAGCATTTGGGAGCGGGTGAGCCGTGTTTTCTCGCTGTGCGAGATCTGAAATATGCGGTGCGGATCGCTTTGCAGCTGGCGGAATATGATTTGACCTATGGTCAGATCGTCATTGTAGTAGCTCTGCTCCCGCGCGCCTGACCATATCTTGAGCTCGGCATTGTAACTGGTGGTTGGGTTAGCGTTGAGATCCAACATTCTGATGCAACTGATGCAGCTGTCGCACGGATTGGCCCTATTTAAAGGTCAAGAGTTGCCTGCTTTATGTGATAACTGTAAACAGCTGGGCACGCAATAGATTCGCATGACACGCGATCACTTTTATGATTATCGGCAAGATCGTGCCGAAAATTGGACGTCAATTTAGCGCTTAAAGTGTTTAATGCACATGTGAACTATTTGAGGCCATATGGCACGAAGTATGCCGGTATTCGACGGAACATTTTGTTGCATTCATATGATTATTAAGTTCAATTAAAATATGATTTTTTATCTACCTATTCCTGTACAATTGATAAGTGCAAATTTTTGAACAGATGACTACTCTCAATTACTGACTGCTATAACGAAATAAATGCTTTTTAGATGACAAGCAGTGGGAAATATTCTGTCATAAAACTGTTCAACGACTGCCTGCTGTTTACTTAGTTCGATCGCCACTGCTTTGATTATTCTAAGGAAAGCAGTGCTGTGCTTTTATATGTACATATATTGTGCTGCTGGTCTGCTTCAATGCTTGCAAGCAGTAAAGTACGTTCTATTCAAACGAAAATGTACAGAAACTTAAATCTAAATAAAACAAAATGAAAATTTTAAATTTTGCAGAAAAAATTTTGTTTTTTATAAGAAAATAATGATCTATAGTTTGTTCATAAGCTGATTCAATATTCAATTCCACTCAACATTCTCTCCGATTCACTTGGCTTAAACGAATCCCAAGGGGACTCTAAAACAAAGAAATGAAAATATTAAAAAATAATTTATAAATAGAGAAATAGTAATGACTTCAGTCTTAATATTAAAGCAGTCAACACCAAGCGAGTAAAGCTGCCACATTCGCAAAATGAAAAGAATGTTTAGTACATTTTTAATTTGGGTTTTTATTTAAACATGCCATGTTGTGTATTTTTTTTTTATTTTTTTCTTTTTTGTATTTTGTATTTTATTTTTTATCATTTATAAACATTTCACAAACATTTTCATTATTATTGGGGTTTTACACATTTGTTTTTGGATTTGTTTTGTTTTTGTTTTTTTTATTTATTTTTTTTTTTTTCAATTCGGGTTGATGGCAATACAACAATTATTTCAACTATTTTGTATAATTATTTCACTAATATTTTACTTATGCATTAAAATTTCATAATCTCTTTTATTTGCCTTGTTTTTATATTTTTTATTTTATTTGCGGTTTTTGGTGTTGTTCTTTGATTTCGGTATATTTTCTATTTCTTTTTCAATTAACTTTCGCGGGCTGCACTACAGCAAATGTTTTTCCCCTTTTTATTTACTTTTACTTTGAACGCATGATCTTAACTATTTAGAATTTTCTTGCTGATGTATTTCTGTTAGCTAATTGTTAATTATGTGTGAGTGTTTGTGTATATCTGTATGTGTGTGTGTACACTTAGCTCTATAAAGTAAGGATGTTGCAGGTTTTCAATTTGTAACTGATTCGTATTTACATTTTTTTTTTCAATATATGTGTTTGTTCCTCTTAGAAATGATAATTGCAGTTTTTCATTTGTTTACTTTATTTTTGAAATCTTTTTTTCTTGTTTTTTTTTTTTTTTTTTTTTTTTTTTTTTTGATTGTTAGAATTGGGCTTGGCTAAAGGGCCGCCGCTTTTTAATGCTTGAAGATATGTGTTATGATTTAAATTTTTTTTATAATTTTCATATATTTTCAATTTGTGCGAGTTAAATTTCGTTAGAGTAAAGAGTGAAATAGTGTTGGAAAGTGATGTGAAGAGAATCAATCGTTTGTCTGTCTGTGTTGGTGTAGAATGCAAATGGGCTTTGGCCGTGTGTTAGTTAGTATTAATTAGTTAATATTAGTAATGTGTTTTCATTTAATTTTTGCATTTTCATTCTCGACTATTCTATGTGCATGTGTTATGCAACACTGCGTTTGCTTGGAACTTAACTTAACTACACATAACTTATGCGCTACGTTTTGGTTGCTAAATGTCATTTATTTTGATGTCACCTCGAAACTTGTAAGTCTTTTTACTTTTGGATCGCATCTAGAAGTTGTGCAATTGTTAAACCTAACCATATGACATTTACATATATTATTTATATATATATATATGCATATTCATGTATAAATTATTTACACCGATATACTGGACTGCCGCACGGTAAAGAAATTCCCTCCCTCTGCTAAATGATAATTGACCAAATTGATGAACGGCAACTGAAGGCAGCACACAACCTACGCCAAGTCTCGGATTGGCCGTAACACTTTGATCTAACATAGCTCTAATATACTATAGAGACGAACTGGAATAGCTTAGCCAATTATTCCGATCGATAGATCGATGCTAAGAACTACGACGCTTTCATTTAGTTTTCTATCTCTTTTCAATTTTCTATTTGCTTATCAGTGTATCATCAACATCAATCAAACACATATTTTTAATTTTTTTTGTTTGTTTTCTTTTCTCCTTTTTTTTGCCCTTAACTGTTTGCCCGAACCATCGACTACTTATTTGCTCACATTTAAAACCCTGTATGTTCAATAGCTATAGCTTCATATACAACTAGACTTTACTTTAACTGCCCATATTTTCTTTGTTATTCATTCAGTTTTATTTTTGTGTATATTTATTAGCTAGTTTAGTTAATTTTCTTGGTGAAATTTGCATTTGTTTCTTGCTTGGCACGAATTTTACAACATTTATTTCATTTCCTCTTGAGGTTTGTTTAGTGACAATTACAATCGTATAATATAGACTATACATACATATACATATA